GAAGGTCACAACAGACCACTGGGCTAGTGAGCAACTCGGCCTCTGGGAGCAGTTTGAACAAAGGGTGCTGAGGAGGGACCCTCAAGTCCCACAGCCATCACACACTCGGCGATTCGCTGGAGGATGAGAGAGGATCTGCCACAGGACCACGAGGCAGAAGCCGGAGGGGGAGCTGAGGAACCTCCAGAGGCTCCTGCACACGCAGTGTCTGCCCGGGAAGCCACCTCAGGCTCAAAGACAAAGCCGTAGCTCTGGGAATTCGACTCCCAGAGGAAAGGAGGCGTTCAGCGCCCCAAGCAAGCAGAAGAGGCGCCTGAAAATTAGGGGTGCCTCCAGAGCAAATCCTCGCTCCCGCCCGGGGCCCCTCCACAGCAGGCCTTCTGAGCCGGCGTCTGAGGCCTGCTGGTTGCCTCCCTGCAATCACAGCCTGACTCATGGGGAGTGAATAAAAACGCAAAGGTGGGTACTAGGTAGCGTGCCAGTTGCAGACGTGATTAAGAAACAACAGCTTGCCGAAACCGGTTTGACTCAGTGGTAGAGCATCGGTCTGCGGACTGAAAGGTCCCAGGTTCAATTCCGGCCAAGGGCATTTACACTGGTTGCGGGCACATCCCCAGTAGGGAGTGTGCAAGAGCCAGCTGGTCAATGTTCCTCTGTCATCGATGTTTCTAGCTCTCTAGCTCTCTCCCTTCCTCTCTGTAAGAAAATCAATAAAATATATTTAAAAAAAAAAAAAAGAAAGAAAGAAACAACAGCTTGCCGGGACCAGTGTGGCTCAGTGGATAGAACGTCGGTCTGCGGACTGAGGAGTCCCGGGTTCGATTCTCGTCAGGGCATGTGCCTTGGTTGCGGGCACATCCCCATTGGGGGATGTGTAGGAGGCGGCTGATTGATGATTCTCTCTCATCGATGTTTCTAACTATCCCTCTCTCTTCCTCTCTGTGAAAAATCAATAAAATATATTTTTTTAAAAAGAAAGAAACAGCTTGAAAATAGGCGTTTCAGGATGACAAGACTCTCGCTCGTGTGCAGACAAAAGAAATAGCAGAGAGTGAGGACCACATCAGCGCAGACCCAAACCCTGACCCCACCAAGGACCGCAGAATATAGGCACCAGCTGGAAAGACTTTCCCGGCCACCCAGAGTGCCGTGGTGAGGCAGCAGGTAACGGGAGAGGGTGCTTTTTGCACTCATGTAGCCATGGGCTCCTAGGATGAAAGAGACCGTCCCATTGAAATGGTTGACTAAACATGCTTACCTAGGCAAATGGGGCCAGAACAGAGACCATGGACCAGGCAGAGGAGAGGCTGAGGGACTAGTTAGGGTCTAACACCAAAGTCATGCATGTTGCTGGATGTTCTTTGCTTCCCCTCACCTCACTATTCTCTGAGATTTGGCTTTGACAGTCTGTTGATCTGTCTTGGCTGTCTTCTGCTATAACCAGGCTGCTGTTGAAGCCATCCAGTGAGTGTTATTTTCAGATGTTTTCAATGACATGCTCATTTGATTATTTTTATAGATTTCAATTCTCTAGTGCAATTCTTCTCTTTTTGTCCATTTTACCCACCTTACCCTGTATTTTAACATACTAACAATTATTTTTTTTTAATATATGTCATTGATTTTTTATGGAGAGGAAGGGAGAGGGATACAGAGTTAGAAACATTGATCGGCTGCATCCTGCACACCCTCAATATGTGCCAGCAACCAAGGCACATACCCCTGACCGGAATCGAAACTGGGACCCTTCGGTCGGAAGGCCGATGCTCTAACCGGTCAGAACGACTTACAGTTATTTTAAAGTCCTCGTCTGCTAACCAATAACTGACACATCAACAAACTGAGGGACATGTAGTCTTCCCTAAAGGAGACATCTCTCTGCTTGCACAGAGCAGAACAGCAGCAGCGCACCAACCTGAGCACATCACTTGCCTGTTGAACCCTCAGGACTACCTCACAGGACACTTAGCCCTTGTCTCTAACAGTGAGGAAAGCAGGAATGTAGTCAGGGAACCGTTCAAGCTTATGGGTGCTCTAAAGCCAGGGTTCCAACCCAAGGAGTCTGGCTTCAGAGCTGAGGGCCCTGTGATCACATGACACCGCCTGTGCCAGGCAGACCGCTCAGGTGTGTGCGCCTGAGAGGAAGCCGTGTGTGGAGGGGGCGGGGAGGAGCAATGGTCTTGAGCGTGTCTATTGAACCCTTGATGAACTTGGCAAAGAAGCAGGTAGGCAGGTAACAAAGAGATGGCCTTTCCCCAGGTGTGGATTCCGGTGGACATATAGACATGGAAGTCAAATGTCTGGCTTTAAAAAAGGGCTGAAAATTCCTGCCCTTTGTTTTACTAAATACCAGCAAAACTAGTCTGACTTCAAGTACCTTAAATATTTCTGGATTTAAGCACTTATATACATCAATAGAAAATAGTCTTAAGTAAATAGATATTTTTGTGGCAATCAAACCCGAGTTTTAGGATCATTTGAGGTGCTAACAGAGTTGTCCACATTTAGGTAGCAACCTACTTGTTTGACAAAACAGGTGCTGTCAGCCAGGGCCTTCCTGCTTGACGCCCAGTGGGTGCTTCCTGCTGAAACGGAAGTGCCAAACTGGAAAAGAAAACAAAAATCAAGGCAACTTTGGTTCCATGATATTAATTCCCTGGCAGGTTTCATAGCCCGCACCTGATGTGAAGCAGGGCCCAGGCTAAGCAGCTTTCATTAGAGAAGCCTGGGTTTAATGAGGTTTGACATTTTTAAAGTGTTTTAGATTTACCTACTGCCTTTAAGTTGCATTGGGCTCAGGTCCCAGAGAGATTAGAAAACAGGAATTAATTTTAAAGGCCTTTCGTAGAGCAAATAAAAAGCCTTAACTTGGGCTGCGTTGTTCATACCACAAGTACTGCACCCAGATGGCCTCCAGCCCTGCCCCCTCCGCCCCATTTCCCGCTGGGCAGCCACAGGGACCTTTAAAAACAAAGGACAGATCAGCTCTCCCCTGGGTCTGGCTCCGTGGCTTCGGGGAAAGGCCAGACATTTACTGTAGCAAACAAGGCTGTGCCATCTTGGGGTTTCAGGACTTGCACAGTGATCATGGAACAGAGCCAGGCTAAGTGGACCCCGTTCTGCCCTTTACTGCCTGCATGCCCTTGGGCAAATTCTTTGTCCACTCTAAGCCTCAGTTCTCTCTTCTGTAAAATGGGGACAATATAGAATCCATCTCATAGCATAGTTTGGAGATTCAATGAGTCCAGTGTACATACAGAACATAGCTGTAATGGGCACACAGTAAGCTGTATGAGGATTAGCTATTACCCCCCTACTTCCTTCCCCTTCCCTCCCAAGGCCTGTGTTCAGGCAGGCTGCAGACCAATGCTTCCAGACCCTCTCACATCCTCTTCCTCTCCCAGAATACTCCTACCCCCCATTTCACATTCACCTAGGGCTGCCTCACACCCCAGTGGGCAGCACGGGTCTCAGGCAGTACTGACACCTGCATTGAACAGGGAGCCTCACCCTGAAGGCCCCGTGGGGGGCAGTGCGTTCTTCCCACTGTCCCCTTGGCCATCCCCGATGGGAAAGTCAGAATCCCGGGTTCTCCTCGGCAGACCTCTCCTCACAGGTCTAAGGGTGCCTCCCTCCAAGCTTCCCACAACAGCCTGAGGAGGAGGGAGCCCAGGCCGCTGTTTGGAAATACATACGGGTGATCCTTAGCTCCTCTCTCAGGTTACAATCCACACTCAGTCAGAGCCCACTGGTCCTGTATCTTTTACTGCGTCTCCAGAAGATACCACCTCAAGCCCAGTACATTGGGGGGCAGATTTACACTTTGATTACTGCAGCTGGCAGCTTTTTCTGGGAGGGCTGAGAGGACTGCGGGAGGGGTGAGGAAGGCCCCGCGGCTCCTGGGGGTGGGCTCTCCCTGGGACATGCCGGTAAGGCTCCCAGATGCTATTGGGCCGCCAGAGCCCGTCTCCCAAAGGGTCCAGTTTCTCCCAGGCCCAGAAGCTGCGGCCAAGCCAGCAGGACCCAGGGAACCGGGGGGGTCAGTGGTCCCGGACGCTCTGGCCGCGCCCCTGCAGCTCCGCGCCCCTGCAGCAAGGGTCGCTTCCTCCAAGGAAGCAGGAGGAGCCGGGAAAGGCCGGCGGGAGGAGAGGGTCGGTGAAGGGGATGCCGCCCGCAGCCATGCTGTTCCCCAGCCGCTGCGCCCCGGGCGCGAGGCAACGTGCGGAGACCGCTGCCCGAGGCTGCACCGGCCGCCAGACCACAGCCGGCGCCGCGGGGACCAGGCTGCGCGGTCCCGCCTTCTCCGAACCCGCGCGGCGGGTGGGACTGCGGCCCCTGCTCCCCGGGTCCTGCCCCCGCGGTCCCTGCCCCCGCGGCCCCTGCCCCCGCGGCCCCTGCTCCCCGGGTTCTGCCCCCGCGGCCCCTGCCCCCCGGGTCCTGCCCCCGCGGCCCCTGCTCCCCGGGTCCTGCCCCCCGGGTCCTGCCCCCGCGGCCCCTGCCCCCGCGGCCCCTGCCCCCCGGGTCCTGCCCCCGGGTCCTGCCCCCGCGGCCCCTGCTCCCCGGGTCCTGCCCCCGCGGCCCCTGCTTCCCGGGTCCTGCCCCCGCGGCCCCTGCTCCCCGGGTCCAGCAGAAACTCCGCCGAGGGCCTGTGGCCGCTCCCGGGCGCGGGGCTCGGGGCGGACCGGCGGAGGACCAGACCCGGGCCCGGGGAGGCGCCCGGACCACCCCCTCTGGAGCCGCCAGCGGGCGCCGCGCTCACCTGGCTCCGCTCCGCCCGGACCGCGCCGGTTGCCCGGGGAACGCGGGACGCGGGCAGGTGCGCGGGCGGCGGCTCCTCCTCCCGGGCTGCGGCGCCGGCGGGCCTTTAGCCGGGAAAGCCCGCTGCGGCGGCCCGTGGGCGGGGCGGGCGCAGGGGGCGCGGCCGTACTTAGGGCCCCGCGCGCGGCCCCGGCTCCCGCACCCGCCCCGCCTCCTGCTCCAGAGCCGCGGGCCGGCCGGGCATGGGGACCCCGTGCCCCGCCAGCCCCGCCGCCGGGCCGGGGAGAGCGCACCGGGCCCGGCTCCCGGGCGCCCCGGTGAAGAAGCCCGGCCGCCCGCGCCTCCGGAGGAAGCAGCCGCTGCGCCCGCGCTCACCGCCCGGCGGCTCGGGCGGCTCCGGCTCCGAGGGCGCGGGCGGCCCCGGGGCGCGAGGCCCGGCCCCGCAGCCGGCGCAGCTGGACCTGCGGACCTTCCGCGACTACGGACAGAGCTGCTACGCCTTCCGCCGGGCGCGCGAGGGCCTCTTCCACGCGCCGGAGGCGCTGGCGCGGCAGCCGCAGGTGAGCGTCCTCCTCCTCCTCCTCCTCCTCCTCCTCCTCCTCCTCCTCCTCCTCCTCCTCCTCCTCCTCCTCCTCCTCCTCCTCCTCCTCCTCCTCCTCCTCCTCCTCCTCCTCCTCCTCCTCCTTCTCCTCCTCCTCCTCCTCCTCCTTCTCTTCCTCCTCCTCCGCGGGCCCGGCCCCGGCCCCCCAGCCCTGCCCCGGCCCAGGGAAGGGGCCGGTGCTGCGGGGCGCAGGGCCGGGCCGCTTAGGGACCCGCTGGTCTCCCTCTGGCTGGCGGGCGGGCAGGCGGCGCAGAGGGCAGCGGGCGCAGACCCCGCCGGTGGAGTCGGACGGCTCCGGGGACCGGCGAGCTGCTCACCGACCCCCAACCCCGACGGAACCGCGTCTTCGTCTGCGAGGCGGCCCGGCCCCGGGGCTGAGAGCCGGGCGGGCGGGTCCGGGCGCCCAGCCGGCCCTTTCGCAGCGGCCCCGCCCGCGCCTCCCGCGCACACGCCTTCGCTCGCACCTCGTCCTCCCGCCTCCTGGGGACCGGAGCCCCGGTTTCTCCGCTCGGCCCTGCCCGGCCCCTCCCCGCCCCGCAGGTCACCGCCGAGTCGCGCTGCCGGCTGCTCAGCTGGCTGATCCCCGTGCACCGCCGCTTCGGCTTCTCCTTCGAGTCGCTGTGCCTGGCGGTCAACACCCTGGACCGCTTCCTCGCCACCACGCCGGTGGCCGCCGACTGCTTCCAGCTGCTCGGGGTCACGTCCCTGCTCATCGCCTGCAAACAGGTACCTGCCGGGTCCGGGCCGCCGCTCCGGGCTCCCCGCGCGCACGGCCTCGCGCGGGGCCCCGAGCGCCGCAGACGGCTGCACGGGGTGCGCCCCGGGCCCCGGCCCTGGCCCCGCCCCCACCCCCCCACTCCCACAGAGCGGGGCAGCGGCGTCCCCGTGGCTCGTGCACTGCAGCCCCCTTCGCGTCCTCCCGTCTCCCGCGGGCAGTGGGTTGGAGAAGGTGGGAGTCACGGCCGTCCCGCGAACGGGAGGGGGCCGGGTCCGCCGGGCGCGGCGCGGGCCGGGCGCGGCGGGGCTGAGCGGCCTGTGCTGCAGGTGGAGGTGCACCCGCCGCGCGTGGAGCAGCTGCTGGGCCTGTGCGGCGGCGCCTTCTCGCGGCAGCAGCTCTGCAACCTGGAGCGCATCGTGCTGCACCGGCTGGGCTTCAGCCTGGGCGCGCCCACGCTCAGCTTCTTCCTGGAGCACTTCACGCACGCGCGCGTGGACGCCGGGCTGGCCGCGGCCCCCCGGGCGCTGCGGGCGCAGGCGCTGGCGCGCGCCGTGGCCGAGCTCAGCCTGGCCGACTACGCCTTCAGCCGCTACGCGCCCTCCCTGCTGGCCATCTGCTGCCTGGCGCTGGCCGACCGGCTGCTGGGGCTGCCGAGCCCCGTGGACCTGCGCCTGGGCGGCCACCCTGAGCCTGAGCTGCAGGACTGCCTGGCCCAGCTGCGCCTCCTGGTGGCCATCAACGGCGCGCCCCTGGCCCACGTGCTGGGCCTGCAGGCGGGCGACCAGGATGGCCTGTCCGCCGAGGGCCCCAGCTGGGAGTGAGGGCGCCCTGGCCCAGGGGTCCGGCGGCATTGGCCCCGAAGCGGCGGCTGGAAGCTGAGGGTCGTCATGGTTGTGTGGTTGTGTATTTATTTTACTGAGCGCCCGGGAGAGCGTCTCTCCCCAATAAACAGGCTGTCTGGCCCACTGCTCTGTCCGGTTTGTCTTGAACATCCCTCTGGCACGGGCTGGTCACGGGGGATGACGAATCCTGGGCACCAGGAGCAATCGCGGGCCCTCCCCTCAGCTCCATGCCCTGGCATCTGTCAGAGCCCAGGCCAGCCTGGCTGGAGCGCCCTCTTACACCAGTTGCCCGCCGGTGCCTGGTTTCCTAGCCGGGGCACACACCTGGGTTGCAGTCCCTTGTGAGGCACCCCTGGCTGCTTCTCTCACATCGATGTTCCTCCCTCCCTCCCACTCTCAAAAATCAGTAAGAACCGCACCAGGTTCCAGAAGTCCAGGTGGCTGGTTCCGTTACAAGGTGAGTCAGTCACTTGTAGGCAGGGATCTTGTGACCCTCCTCTCCTGTCCCAGAATGAGGATGGCTCACCCCAGAGGTGCGGAGGGTGTGGGGGGTACGGCAGCCGGGAACCTGCAGCCGCCCAGCTGCCTAGGGGGAGAGGGTGCCCAGCCGGTGCCCACAGTGCCCGGCCAGGAAGCCTTGGGACTGGCAGGCCCCGGCACGGAGGGAGCACTCCCGTTCCGCACAGGGGCTGGCATAGGGCTCTGCAGGGTAGGGATGGCTGCCACAACCCAGCCTGCCACCTGCGAGCACCCGGACCCAGCCCCGCTTCTCACATCTGCGACACGGGAGCCCAGGGCGCCGGGCACCGTGGTAACCATGGCTGCCATGGGTGCTTAGGGTCAGGCAGTGTGCTCAGCGTGCCCCATTTCAGCCCAATCCTAGGAGGACGGACCCTGGCAGCGGGGCAGGTGAGGAGGCAGGTGCTCCGCATCAGGCCCCTCGGCCACCTGCTCAGCTCCCACCACCGGGCTCTGCGAGGGGCGTGGCCGCACTCCTAACAGGCTGCTGAGAGCCACCTGAGATGGCTGTGAGGCAGTTAGTCAGTGTAAAGCACCAATTAAACAACTGGGGCCTCGCCGGTTTGGATAGAGCGTCAGCCTGCGGGGTCCTGGGTTTGATTCTGACCAATGGCACATGCCTGGGTTGTGGGCTGGATCCCCAGTAAGGGGTGTACAGGAGGCAACCAATCAATGGTTCATCATTAATGTTTTTATCCTCCCTCTCTGAAATCAATAAAGAAATATACCTTTAAAAAATAAGTGGGGGCTGAGGTCCGTTGGCTGAGTGACCTTCAGCAGGCCTCATCGCTGGGCCTAAGTATCTCCTGTGAAAAGGGGATCAGAGCACTTATCTGCAGGCGGAGGTCTGCGTTTAATGTCCCCGGCGGGGGCCCAGCACACAGCACGCCTCCGAGGAGGCCTGCGGCAGCCTGCGCTGTGGACTGAGGGGATCACAGGGAGAACTTGGAGACAAACGGAGATAAAGCAGGTGCAGGAAACCGTTCCCACCTGGAGGCGAACACACTGCTGTTCATGATGCTATTTATTCAGACTTCCTGTCTGGTTGAAGAAGACATTCTGTTCACTAGAGGAAGTCTAAAGGCGTGATCAATGTGCCCAGATAAAATGCAAACAAACTCAAAACAAAGTAGAGTGAGCTTCCTTGCACCTCTCTTCACTAGCCCCTCCCCCAAGCTCTCCCCAGACAGGCCCCTCACGCTGAGCCCGCAGCACCCCCTCCTCCTGATGAGGCCATTGGCTGGGGAAGGGGATGGGATCCCGCACTGACGGGAGAGGCTGGTCGGTGGCGGTAAGAAGCAAGTGGATAAGATCCTCCAAGTTCCAAAGTGCCCGCCTCAGCCAGGCGGGAGGCGGTGGCGGCGGGAACAGGCTCTTCATGTGATCTGGGGAGGAGCTGTCTCACCAGCATTGCTCCACGCAGCCAAGGTGTGTGTGATCACCTCCTCAGGCCCTGTGCCACAGGTTTCCTTAGAGCCAGACCGTCAGTGATCACGGACCGTCAGGGACCCGAGGACCACGGGTTGGCGACCGCTGCTCTAGGTCAAGGGTCAGCAAACCGCGGCTCAGGAGCCACACGCGGCTCTTCGGCCCCTTGAGTTTTTAGCAAAGGCCAGCTGAGGAGGACCCTCATTACATTAATAACAATGGACCTGCCTATATCCCGTGTTTCCCCGAAAAGAAGACATCCCCTGAAAATAAGACCTAGCGCAACTTTGGGAGAAAAAAAATTAATATAAGGCACTGTCTTGCCAAAACCGGTTTGGCTCAATAAATAGAGCGTTGGCTTGGGGACTGAAAGGTCCCGGGTTCGATTCCGGTCAAGGGCATGTACCTTGGTTGCGGGCATATCCCCAGTGGCGGTGTGCAAGAGGCAGCTGATCGATGACTCTCTCTCATCGATGTTTCTAACTCTCTCTCCCTTCCTCTCTGTACAAAATCAATAAAATATATATTTTTTAAAAAAGACACTGTCTTATTTTCAGGGAAACAAGGTCGTTTATTTTAAAAATGTGGCTCTCAAAAGGAATTTCAATCCTTGTACTGTTGTTACTTGGCTCTGTTGACTAATGAGTTTGCCACCTCTGCTCTAGGATACAGCTCGTGTACAACGCCCGTATTTTTCTGCCCCAATGTGGAACTCACTGATGGAAAATCAGCCTGTTTTGAAAAGTCGGTGGTGGTCTCCATGCATAGAGATCACCCTGAAACCTAGCTGAGAGCCCCCCTACTTCACAGACTTGGGAGTTGGAGTGAAGAGGGAAGTAGGGATGAGCTGGCCAGTGGCTGGCTGCTCAGGAGACCGAGCCTGGACCAGGCCCTGGGAGGCTGAGGTGCAGCCGAAAAGTTCCTAAGGCAACAGCATCAATTCATCCAGCCAAGCACCAGTCACGTGACACCGTCACAGCAACACGCCTGAAGTCAGCTTGTTTTCCCTGAACAACTGGGCTGCATGCACCCGGTGGAGCCGGTTCTGATCCCCAGCACTGACCCCAACGGCAGAGCTGGTCCCGTTACTCTCCATCCCGCCCGGGGTCCTGTGTTATCTCCATCACCGCTAGCGGGTCCTGTTATTACGCCTCATCCCTCCGGGGGTCCTGTTTATTAACCCAGGTAACCGGTGCAATAGAGGACAGTTCACTGTGACCACCAGCACGGCCACGGTGACCCTGCGTGGGGCTGTGAAGGACTGAGAAAAGACAGACAAGAGAAGACAGCTGGGTCTGGGTGGACGCTGCCCTCTGTGATGGAGAGGACTGTGAGCTGTTTGTTTCAGGGCCAGACTCCATGTGGCAAAGGAAGGGCGCGGTCACAACCTTCTCCTGGGTTTCGATCCCACTCAACTGCATGCACCTGAGCCCTATCAAGCCCAGGGCACTCAGGCACTGGAGCCACATCCGGCCAGGTTCAAGCTCACAACCACAGCTGCTGGCTCTCTGGCCCTGGGAGGCTCCCCTCCAGGCTGGGACGTGCCCGTGGCCTGAGAGGACGGTGCCCTCCGGTCAGTCCCAGGCTGGAACCTGTCCAGACGCTGTGGCCACGCCCCACAGCTCACCGTCCAGACCCCCAGGTGTCAGACACACAGGTGCCCCACAGGAGGCCCCACCCCGGACCTGGGGGTTCTCCTGGGGGGGGGGCTGTGATGGGAGTTCCCCGGGGTTCCCTCTCCCACAGAACCCTCGGGGGGTTAGGGGGGAGGTGGGCAGGCTGCCCTGGCGCCCGCTCTGGAGCCGCGTTCAGCTCCTGCGCGGGGATGGAGGGCCAGGTCGGGCGGTGTATGTGTGTGTGTGGGGGGACCGGGTAGAGGGGGGCGGGGGGCGGGGGACGGAGGGGGATGGAGGGCCAGGTGGGGCGGGGGGGTGGGGGGGATGGAGGGAAAGGGGGCCGGGCGGGGCGGGAAGAAAAGGGCAGAGAGGCCCCGCGGTTCCTCCCGCCGCCGCGCGGGAACCCGGCCCTGGCGCTCGGTTTGGCGCGGCCTCGAGGCGGCGGCGCCAACACCCGCCAAAGGCCGGGCCGGGAGCCGCCGGCGGCTCAGCGCCTCCAGCGCCCGCGCGTCCGGCCCGGCGCCTCCTCCGGCGCGAGCGCCCCTCCCGTCGGTCCTCCCGCCGGTCCTCCCTCCGGGTCCTCCCGGTTCCCCATCCCCCTCTCCCCTCTTCCCTCCCCCTCCCCCTCATCCCCTCCCGCCGCACCTCAGTCCCCCGTCCGCCGCCGCGGGCCCCGCAGAGCCGCCGGCGGAGCGCGGGGTGCAGGGTGCGGAGCGCGGGGTGCGGGGTGCGGCCGGGCCGGCGGGGACCGAGGCGGAGGCGGAGGCGGGATGCAGGCGCGCGGGGGCGCCGCGGCGGGACGCCGGGCCTTCGGCAGCCTCTGCCCCAACCGGATGCCGGAGCTGCGCGGCCCGGCCCCTGGCAAGCCCTGGCGGCTGGAGGGCAAGGTGGGGGGTCCCGGGCCCCGGCGGCTGGAGGGCAAGGTGGGGGGTCCCCGGCCCCGGCGGCTGGAGGGAAAGGTGGGGGTCCCCGGCCCCGGCGGTTGGAGGGGAAGGTGGGGGGTCCCCGGCCCCGGCGGCTGGAGGGGAAGGTGGACTGGAGAGGGGTCCCCGGCGGCTGGAGGGCAAGGTGGGGGGTCCCCGGCCCCGGCGGCTGGAGGGGAAGGTGGGGGTCCCCGGCCCCGGCGGTTGGAGGGGAAGGTGGGGGGTCCCCGGCCCCGGCGGCTGGAGGGGAAGGTGGACTGGAGAGGGGTCCCCGGCGGCTGGAGGGCAAGGTGGGGGGTCCCCGGCCCCGGCGGCTGGAGGGAAGGGGGCCCGCGCTCACCGCCTCTGCCCGCCCAGCTCGTTCCCCCGCGAAGGGTCCCCCCCGACTGCGGCAGGGACCCGGGGTCCGGGTGCGGCCACCCCCCGGGCGCCGAGCCCGCGGCGCTGCCAGGTGAGCCTCGGGGAGGGGCGTGGCCGGGAGGAGGGGCTCCTGGGCTGGAGGGGGGGGCTCACGGCCCGTCCCCGCAGCCTTCGCCACCATCGACCTGCAGGACCTGGCCGACTGCTCGCTGCTCGCGCCCCTCGCGCCGCCCGCCGGGGACCCGGCCGCCCCGCAGGTACCCGCTCATGCCCGCGCCCCTCCCTCCGGTCCGCCGCGCCCGCCGCGCCCCCCCTGCCCTCCGCAGGCTCGTCCCATCTCGACTCCCCCTGGCACGGCTCCTGCTCCAGACCGGCCTCCCCATCCTCCCCTGGAGCTTCCACAGAGGAAGGGGTGACGGCTCCCCAGGAACAGGGACAGGGACCCGGCGAGGAGGGGAGCGCACTGGCTCCACTGGCTCGCTGGGCTTCTGACACGGCTCCCGGTTCCGCGGTCCCCGCCGGCCTCCCTGGCATCTGAGGGGCCGGAGGGAGGGAGCTCTGATGAAGACGGGAGGGGGTTTGCCTCAGGAGGAAGGGGGTGGAGGACAGAAGACCCGGAGACCGGCAGATGGCCCGTGGGCAGCGGGCGATTCTGAAACGTTTCCTCTCCACAAAGGCTGATGCTTCCCTTTCGGGACAAAGAGGCGTTTGCCTGTTTTTTCCTCCAAAAAAACACCGTCTTCTGCTTCCACCCGCGGTGCTGCTCGCCTGGGCTGGCCCTGCCCTGCCCTGGCCCTGCCCTGCCCGGGTGGCAGCCTGCTCCTCTGGGATGTGCAGCGCCAGCAGCCCCCCAGGCCTGGCTGCACGCAGGGGAGGGTGCCAGGCACGCAGGGAGGGTGCAGGCCAGCTTCCTGGCCTCGGGCTGGGACGGCCGCAGCAGGTCTCGCACGGGACTCCCTAGAAGACAGGACGGCCCACAACTGGAGTAGGTGGTGGGGCAGAGCCTCCCAGGCCTCCTGGGTGCTCACAGCTTGGGACAGAGCCCGGGGCCTCGGCGGAGTCGGCCACGGAGAGCAGAGGTTGTCCAGGCAGAAGGTGAACAGGGCTCGCCCTGCGGAGGCCAGTCCTTTGTTCCTTCAGACCCAGATGCTCAGACAAGGAAGGACTCTGGCTTATTTCCTGGGACCCACAGCTGCACACGCCCCCATCCTAGGGTTTGCTTTGCCGGTAAAGGAGCCCGGCAGGACCCCCTGGACCTGTACTTAAGTCTGGGACTTCACGTTTGAGGGCGTGTCCTGCGTCCGTCTGTGTGTGTGTGTGTGTATGTGTGTGTCCTGTGTCCGTGTGTGTGTGGTGTTGTTGTAGAGAAATGACAGGTTTTTGTCTAATTGGGGAGCTAAGATTCAGAATCTGAGAGCAGAGCGCACAGCTCCGGCCCAAGAGGCCAGCACTCTCCTGGGGAGACAGAGCGGACACAAGGGGCGGACCAGGGAAGGCCCCCTCGGAGCCTGCTGGCCGGTCCGGGCTCCCTCACATCCCCATCCCTCCGTCTGGGGAAGGCAGACGGACTGACAGGTGCTGGGGGCGCTGGAGGTCTGCAAGCTCCCCGCCCCGACAGGCTCCTTGGCCTGCCGCCCCGGCGCCGGCTGCCCTGAGAGGCGCCGAGGCTGGGGGTACAGGGGAGGAGGACCGGGGCGCCGGCCTCCCCCAGGAGCCCCAAGTCCCCTGAGGAGCTGGCACTCGGCTCTCAGCGCCTCCCCTGCACCGCGGAGCCGCACTCCCGGGCTCCTCCCGCCTTCCCATGTCCGCGAGGGGTTCTATCGAGTCAGGTGCTCGGGAATGAGGGGGGAAGCGCCTGGCCCCACCGGCCCGCGCCCCGCGCACATCACAGCCTAGGACGCGCGGGTCCGAAGCCGGAGGTGCGTCGCCTCCAGAGACTCAGTCCGACTTTCAGGAAAGGAAGGCGGCTCGCTCCGCGCCACCTCTGGCCCCACGTCCCTCCCCTCCGTTATGGGCGGGAGGTCTGGCTGCGACCCAGCCTCGGCGGGAAACGTGGCCTCGAGGCACAGCCGGTGGGAGCCCGCGGTGCCTGCGGACGCGGGCAGCAGAGGCCGTCCCCACCGCGGCCCCGGGCGCAGGGAGCGCGCAGGCCGCTGATTGGCTGGCGGCCGGCCAATGGGCGCGCGGGAGGGAGGGGCGGGGCGACTGCGCGGAGCGCGGAGCGCGGAGGCACCGGGCGGGACTCGGAACCCGCGGTGGTGCCCGGTGGCCCTCGCGGCCGGCCCCGCTCCCGCCCGCTCCCCACGGCGGTGCTCGCCTGCCGGGCCCCGCGCCTCGGGTGGGGCTTCGGCTCTCAGGGGGCGGCGAGGGCGGGCGAGCTCCCGCGGAGCCGGGGGTCGGCGGCGGGGCGGACCGCGCGCCCCTGACCCCCGCTCGCCTGCCCCCAGAGCCATGGCCCGCAGCCGGCGGCGGCCTGGGACCCGCAGGACTTCAGGGCGACGGTGGAGGAGCTCCTCGCAGGCAAGTGACGCCTCGGGCGGTGCGATGAGACGGGTCCCTGTCGCGTCCGGCCTCGTGCCGCACCCTGGTCCGGAGGCCGTGCCCCGCGCCTGTCCAGCGGGCGGCAGCGCACACAGGGCCAGGCTCCCGGGCGCCCGCCGGGGACCCGGGCTGGCCACGGAGGAGATGCTCTGGGTCCACAGCTCTCCGCTTCGGCGTGTGGGCTCCGGGAGGGCCCTCTCCGCGGGGGGACCGGGAGGGGGAGGGACCTGGGCAGGACCCTGGCCCCGGGCCCCGTGAGACCCGCTGGGGAGCAGCCGGTGAGCACCCGCCGGTGCCCGGTGCCAGGCGGAGGGTGCGGGGCGCGGGCTTCGCCCGGCGGCTCCGGTCCGGTCCGCCCAGCCCCGCTCTCCCGCAGACTCGGCCCCCTGGCTGTCGCCTCCCCCGGCCGGCGCCGACTTCCCCTTCTCTCCGGGCGACCCGCTGCCCTTCGGGCCCTGCCTCTCGCCGCCGCCGGCCCCGGCCCCGGCCCCGCCGCCGGAGCAGTACTGGAGGGCGGTGGCCGACCAGAGCCGGCGGGCGCTGGGGGACGCGCTGGCGGAGAACAGCCAGGTAGGGGCCCGCGGTCCTGGGGGGGGGGGACTCGGAACCCGGGCCCAGGCGGCTGCCAGGGCTCCCCCTCCGCTCCCAGTCCCACGGGTGGGGACAGTCTCGCCCGCTCGGCTCCCCTCGGGCCGCGGCGTCCAGGAGGCTCTGGGGGCCGGGCTGGCTTCCCGCTCAGCTCCCTGGACGCGCCAGGCCTGCCCTTTGAGCTGTCACCCCCCCTCCCCCCTTACCCCGGGCCCGCTGGGCAGGGCGGAGGGAGTGCGGGGCCGGGGCGCATCGTGTTAATAAAGTCCTGGGCACTGAGCTCAGCTCCGGCCGGTGAGGCCCGGGCCCGTTCCCGCTCCCGCGGGGCCATCGGGTCTGGCCTCGCTCACCGGCTCCTCCCGCAGCTTCACGCGGCGCTGACCCGGAAGCAGGAGGAGATCGCGGCGCTGCGGGAGCGCAACGTGCGGCTCCGGGAGCTGGCCGGCCGGACCCGGCGCCTGGCGGCGGCGCTGGACGTAAGCGGCGCGGCGGGCGGCGGGGCGGGAGTGGCCGGTGCACCCGCTCCCCGCTCGGGCCCCGTGCCGCGCGCCCCGCGGTCCCAGCGGCCCTCCGTCTCCCGCAGAAGCTGATGGTCACGCAGCCGCCGGAGGGGGAGGCGGCCGGGCCCCGCCCGCCCGGGGCCGCGGCCAAGAGGCGCCCGGAGGAGCTGCCGGGCGCCGCGGAGCCAGACTGCGCGCCCCTGGACACCGCGGCCCTGGACGCCGCCCTGCGGGACCTGGCCGCGCGCTGCGAGGACCTGCTGCGCGGCCGCGACCCCAAGCGCCCCCGCCTGCAGCCCGAGCCCGCCAGCCCGGCCCGCCCGGGGCCCCTGCACGGCGCCTTCCGCGGGCTGCGCACCGCCTGCGGCCTGAGCCGCGGGGAGCCGGGGGCGGGCGGCGCCTTCTGCACCCCGATCCGCAGCCACAGCACCATCCGCACCCTGTCCTTCCCCCAGGGCAGCGCCTTCACCATCCGCACGGCCGGCGGGGGCTACAAGTTCCGCTGGGTGCCCAGCTGACCCCTTTTCCCGCCTTCAGGGCCGGAGGGGCTTCGGCCGCGGGGCCGTCCTCTAAGGAGAAGGCGCCCCGGCTTCCTGAGGGAGAGGGGGGGCCCGAGGTGAGGTCCTTCCGGCGGGAAGCCCTCAGAGGAGCGCAGGCCGGCCCGCCGTGAGCCCGGTCCCAGGCCGGGGACTCGGCTGCCGGGATGGAAGGAGGAGCCCGGCCCCACGCGCCTGCAGGACCCCCAGCTGCCCGCCACGTGCGGTTGTGACGCCCGCCCACCGCGTAACGGTGTGCCATACGGGGAATGTTTATGGTAATTTTACGCACAGCTTCGTCTGAACAGGAGAGCCGCGGGAAAGCTTTCAGAAGCAGAAGCTGTTGTAAGAATGCACAGCCCACATCAAAGCCCGTATTTCCGGCCAGAAACCAAGCGTGACAATCTGCAGAAGCAGAACTGTGAACCCCCTGGGGAGAGGGGTGCCCGTCCCCCACACTTGCTTTTTTGGGACCTTAGACGCACATACAGTGAGGCCTTCCCTGGACCTCTCTGCCTCTGCCTCGTGTGGCTGCCTTTCCCTCTGTGTGAAATGATGTGTGTAGCCTGTAACCCAGTTCTTAACGTGGGGGTGCTTGTGTGGGCTCAGCCTGGGGCGTTCCCAGCTCTGTTACCCCCAGCCCTGCAGAGGGGCTGCCCGCTGGGCACAGGGCTCCAGTGATGGGCCTGGCGGGGCAGAGCCGGCTCCTCCAGTTCGCCCCGCGGGCTGTCATCTGTATTTAACTAGCCATTCAGAAGGAGAAAGTGATAAAAGAGACACGTTTCCTTGCGTTTTGTCTAACAAATCAACTTAAATACACACTGATGGCTCAGATTCTTATCCGCTCATATAAAGTTGACAGGTCAGGACTAGAAACAAGAGTCCTTACCTCCTCCCGGGAAACACACGCAGCTCTCAACTCCTTGCTATGTTCACACGGCATTAACTTTAAGGACTGGGAAGTTAAAACTTCATATGCATGTTTCCTATTTGCCTTGTGCTAGGATTTGGAAAAAGGCTATTTCTTGCTGCCACTTAGATTTCAGACCTATAATTGTTACTCTACCGCGTAAGCATCTTCCGTTTCTGGGGGGGCAGCTCTCCTGTGAACTAATGGCACTAACGACCAACTTTGCATTACTTAACAGCAGCTGAGTTTAAAAAATCATCCATTCCACAGGCACTTATTGCATGCTCCTGGGAATGTCGCTAAAGCAGAGACTGAGGAAACAGTGAGGAAACGCTAGGGAATCTATAAACCTGTGAGGGAGAGGGAGCGGAGTTCTCCGTGAGGCGGCCTGAAGGAACCCCATAGGCCGGTGCTAACAGCACCTTTGTTCTCCTCGCCCGGATGCTGCAGCACAAGCGGAGGCCGCTACTGGGCTGTGAGAGGAAGGACACAGCCCACCACGGGGACGCCACCCTAGGGCCTTGTCTAACCCAACCACCATCACAGGGGGCGGGAGGCACGAGCCTGATGTTTTCAGCAGAGAGAGGACATGGTGGGCAGCCGGCTCTCGGGGAAGCTCCCTGACAGACGCTTGAGAAGTGACTGGAGGAAGCCAGGGAACAGTCTTCTGATGTTTGAGGGGCCAGCATCCAGGCAGGTGTGTGTGTGTGTGTGTGTGTGTGTGTGTGTGTGCTCTCACACAGGCAGGGAGGGTGCCCGACTGAGAAAAGCAAGGAGGCTGGTGTGGCCAGAACTGAGTGAATGAGGGGGAAATGAGAACATTGGGTAGAAGAGAAAGCTTTTTTTTTTTTTTTAATTGATTTGGGGAAAGAGAGAGAGTTGTTACTCCACCTGTTTATGCATTCATTGTTGGAATCTTGTATGTGCCCTGGCCAGGATGGAACCCACTTTGGCATATAGGGATGGCATTCTAACCTACTGAGCTACCGGCCAGGGCAATCAGGACTTTGTTCTGAGAGGAAAACCATTAGAGCTTTTGGCCAAGGGTTTATGTGATCTGATTTCCATTTAAACGGAGTATTCTGATTTCTTTGGGAGAATTGTAGTGGGTGGGCATGGAGAGCAAGGTGGAAGCAGAGAACATTTGAAGACGGGATAAGCTATGATACGTGAGGGATAATCATAAGTTATGCCCAGATGATGGTGGTAGGCAGAATAGCAGTCCCCCAAGGATGTCCATGCTCTGGTTCCTGATGGTTGGGTCTGGAATTCAGGGGGGAGGCTACGGCTGAGACAGCACATAGGAGTAGCTCACCTAGGAGGAGTAGCTCACCTGGGAGGAGTAGCTCACCTGGGGAGTGAAGCCGGTGGGGAAGTCTGGGTTGGCTCTGGGCTCTGCAGTGGGATGAGGAAGAACTTTCTGTTAGGAACCCCGGTGGCTGCTGGGAAATGCTTATCCACAAGCATCTTTGCCTAAAGAGCTGCAGGATGTAGAAATGGTCCTTCAGGTCAGATTGATCCAATCGAACAAATAATTGCTGTTTGGAGGAGGGTGTGGACTGGAGTTTGAAGCTGACAGGCAAACACCAGGGATCATTTAGCTCAATGTCTCACTTGGGAGCTGAGGAAGCCAATCAGGTGCGGTGTGGGCTCTGCTTCCCGGCTGCCCATTAAGTAAAAGGAGCGCCATGCTCCCCTCTCACTGTCTGAGGATGTGCTGGATCACATGGGTGTCCTCTTACAGGTGCTCTTCAAACCCTGGTGTCAGTTTGAGCATTTCGTGGGATCTCAGGCAAAAATAAATCACAGAAAAATTCCAACAGGAGTCTTGGAAATTGATCCAAATCAACTTCCTAAATGGCAACAGCCTACAAACAGGCTGACCCAGCACATTCGATGCCTCCTGCACGCCCCCTGCTGGGGGTCGAGCCTGCAACCCAGGCATGTGCCCTGACCTCCTCGTTCATAGGTCAGCACTCAACCACTGCACCGCACCAGCCAGGCTCTTGCTTTTAGTCCTCTTAACATTTCCTTGTGTTTGAAGAATGAACGTCAAACATCCTGCAGACCAGAGGGGAGAAAGTGAAGCTGGGTTTTCTGTGCCGCTTAGGAAACTAAGCATTTAGCAGAGACCAAAGACATTGCTTTGCCAGCAGCTGAACTCCGGTATTGCACAAACAGTAAAACTCCAAGCCCAACAACAAACAAAGGACCCACAGGTGTTGCTACTTACAGAAACTCCAGCTTTAATTCTTTTGTCTCTGGGCTGAAAGCGAGACACATTTGTGTTTAAATTTGGAAAGTTTTGCCTAGACCCAGTCTTAGAGTAAACACTCGGAGGGGAGTGACTTAGCCTGAGGCACGCGTGAGTTCCTGGAGGCCGGCCACGGGGCAGTTGGGGGGAGCGGGGAGCATGAGGGCAGCGGGCCGCCAAGAGCAGGTGGAGGAAGGGCGGCCATGCATTAAACGTCCTCCTACAAGGACTTGGAGGCAAATGCAAGCTGCTAACTGACGGAAAACAGCTCTGTTGGAGAAGGAGCTTCATGGGGTCGTGGCATAAAGAAACCCGAGCATCTGCGGGCCACGGGCACGGCGGGAGGATGGCCTTGGTGTCTGCTCGCTGTGTTCGCCGGGGCAAGTGCAGGGTCTTCGCCTCTCATGTTCTCTGTTCTGCGCCGAGAACGCCAGCCTCCAGTCCTCTGACCTTTTCTCACGGGTCCCGGGCGTTTAGCCTCCTGTGGACTCAGCGCTCGGAGCAGCTTGCTTTGGGCACTGGGATACGTGTCTGTCCCCTCTCTCCGCCTGTCACTCACGTGCCCGGCTTTATACCTGTTTGACTCGCTAATTTCTGTTAAGATGTCAGCACAATATTTAAGAAATAACGTAGACTTTCCTTTAGGTTAGGCCTCTTAGGCTAACAAACAAAGATTCTAAAATGTGCTTTAATGGTGAAGATTTTATTACAAAATGAAGCATTTTTTTTTTCTTGTTGCAAAGTCAATAACTGCAAACAAAAGGAGTAACAAACCGCACATTGCTCTCACTTTGATGGAAACTTCCAGACATTGGGTGGTATACACACAAATATACATGGGAAAGAGCAGGGATATGTCATCGTGTGCACATGTTCTCCTACCTGACCGTATTGATGATTCTCTTATGACTCTTATTTCTTAACTATTGCGCTGGCTGCATTTTATTACATGGACGTGGAATGGTTTATTTAACCTACACCTGTGGCTGGGTATTTACGTCTTCCCGGGTCGTGAACATTTCTCACTTCTTCCCAAAGTGAACGAAACTCTAAGTAAAGGGAAGCCAGGCATTGATTCCAAAACCCAGCCTTTGGGGCCTTTTGGTGGCGGAGTTTTTACTTCTGTGGTCGAGGATAAACAGGAACCCTGGGCATTGGGAGGCAGGAAACAACGGCCGGAGGAGGAGGGTCGCAGTGATCTAATCTGAAGAAGCAGAAGCTTGCAGAGGGCTGTGTCAGATTTACTCACGGAAGAGAACGTCCCACACTTGTGTTCCATCACGTCCCTCTCCCAGTGTCAACGCTGGAACCATTATGCGCGTCTCCTCTCCACTTCTGTCTGAGCGCCAGCGGGCAGCAGGGCGGTGTGAGAAGGAAGGACCGCACAGGAGGGGAGGTAGTTATGGCATCTCAAGGGGGGAGAGCAGCATAGAGCCCACAGTCACTGTGCAAGTCCTATAAATGCCAGCCTGGGACCCTCTGGGGGACCCTGTGCTGCTGCTCTAAGCCTGGAGGACTGACAGCTTCTCCGTGTGTACTTGTCACTGAAGTGTAAACACATTGTGTGGAAATTTTGACCCAGTCGCTCAGTTGAGTAGGAAACAGTGGCTGGCTGCTTCCGTGTGTACACAGGTATGTTTGCTCACTGGGCATGCATGTTTGCAGTATTTCCTTTAGGTGTGATGACTGGACAGTCCTACATCCCAGGGCAAGTTTTCTGGCAATTAAAAAGTATATATATTTGATACAGAGAAGAGGAAAGGAGAGAGAGCAACATCAATGATAAGAATCATTGATTGGCTGCCTCCTGCAGGCCCC